CACACACACACACACATTACACGCATTTTTTTTTCTTAAAGAAGCTAGTGTTATTGTTATGACATCACTGGTATGGGCTTAACCAGATTTTTGTGTGCGTACACCACAGAGTTATCTCCTTTTTAAACTATCTATTATAAACTGTGTATGTAGGTCTAGACAGCAAGGACAAGAGTAAGCGAACACCACCCTGCGCACTGAAAGAGGGGACGTTGAGAACCGGGCGCAGGAAAAGGATAAATAAATAAAGTTTTCTTTGAAATATCTAAGTTCTAGATCTAGATATATTTGAAGAAGTGGACTAAGCTTTCAGGTAAAAAGGTATGTTTGAAAGGATTGGTTGATTGCAGTTTTCAAGGTGCATGGTGTTCGCTTACGATAGTCCTCATCTAGATCTAGATAAAAGCCTTTGCAACTTTCTGGTAGAAATGGTTGTAACTCGATTGCTTCGTGTCGTGACAGATCTCTTTGTCCCGTCCTCAATGCTAGAAGTAGAAGTAGAGTAGAAGAGTCTACTACTACAAGAGTCTAGTCCAATATATGTATTTAATCTCTTGAATGTGCTGGATTTCAGAGATCTACAACCTGCAACTAGATTACATCTAGATTCGATATTTGAGTAAAAGCAGAGTCTAGGGAAAAACATCTACCAATTGGCATGGTGATGAGAAAAGAGAGACCAATACAATCTCAGAATCGCGACTCTCACATGGCACATCACTTAACCCAATGATTACAAATACAAAATAATGTACCATGATAACGCAATGCGGCAAAAAGTTGCGCCGGCTCGAAACGCGGGGGGAAAGGGCAGCGCGTCAACCGACGGTCAACCGCTGACCACTTCCTTATCAGCTCGCACCTGGTGCGAGTAGTGCAGGTCTTTGTTCCTTTGTTAGAGGCCATTAAAAAGCGTAAAATATTATTATGTTAGTTTGGAGGTGAAAGCTTGTGTGTGACCAAGGCCCAAACAACCTGACGGTTTTAGGAACTAAGTCTTACCCCTGAAAAGATTTTTTTTTTCATCATGACGATGATAAAATCACAGTCCTCTTTGACTCTCCGTACTTAATTTAGAATATTATAAATTTTTTATCTACGATTTCTATAGGCCTACTCATCATGTTGATACTGCGAGCTCGGCAGTTATTGGAAGTTTATATGAAAAAGACAGTGCCTTAGATTCAGGGCGACTCCCAATTTAACGAACTGTGTTTCAAATTTTAGACGACAAAGGATTTGTTAGGTTGTGCATGTACTCAGGTGCAATGTATCAAAAGCACCTGGAACACTATGTAATCTCGGAAATAATCCTTTGTCGACGTCGCTATATCTGATTTTTGTAACGACTTTGATGGACAGATAATGGTCGACCAAATTATTAATGCACTGCCTTTGAAGCTGTTTTTAAAAAAACAACAAACAACAACACATTTTAAGCCTCTGATGAACAGAGTGCACATTATTCAGAATCTAACATTGAAAATGCTCCATGAGCCAAACGGAATTGAAATCAAAGGTGATTCCTGCAAAAGCCAGACAGCGGACTATGAATCAGTGTATTTATTAACGATGATCTTTATAGTGCAGTCAAACATTCGTGGCGCAATTTATCCTCAGACCAATGGTGAATCAAAGTAACCTAACGTTGCATAGCAGTTCGTATCAATTTTTCTTAACTCGTTCATACTTTTCCACAACAGTTGAGGCTAGATTTTCAAAAATTATCTTCAGGAATTTACATAAAATACTATGGAGCTAACTCGTCACCGTACACCGCATGTTGTTACGGGCCTAGTAATACTGCGTGCGCTGTGTGAGCTCGTTGCTACTCAGAGCAACGCGCACTCGTCACTGACCTCGATTCTCCGACAATGCACAAAGGCCAAAGAAGGATTGCACCGTTTCGGTATTTACGGTCTCCGACTTAACGTATGTTCCGGTAACTAGATC